GTAACAGTCATAGTACAAAAAAGTTACAACAATTCAAAGAAAACAGAGGATTTTTAATTTCGGATGGGTCCCACTGCGTTTATTGTTAGACTTCGACATATATATAAAAAAAATATAGACTTCGACATATATAAACAGGGGATTTTTTTTTTAGACTTCGACATATATGTTACCAAGTGTGTTGCTTTATTCTTTGAGAAAAGCCGTCACTTCAAGTGGCGGCTCTTGTACTGTGTAGAGAAAAGCAGCCACTTCAAGTGGCGCCTTTCCTTAACCACGGTTAACCTAGCAGTATTTTGGGAATTATTTTTAACCCAACAATATTTTGGGAATTATTTATTTAGCATTATTCCGAGAAAAAACTCGGAAAACACCAATAAATTGAAAAACGACTTAAACATGCTTGGGATAATATGTCAGATATTGTGTTTCAGTTATTTTTAAAGAAGGGTGTAACGACTAGCAATAGATGTGCAGTTGCAGCATATGAATTTTAAAGAGTTAATTACCAATATAGGAGTAAAAAGTTTACAATTTGCCAAAATAGGAGTAGTCAGGTAAGTCATGTTTGATAGGAGCATTTTAAGATCAAGTTGACCAAAATAACCTTCTTATATATCACATAGCCGGTGCTGCACTTAAAATTGAACAAACATTGAAGAATGAAGAGTCCAAGTAATATTTGCGTAGATCTCCAGCTACCCTCCCTGGTGCCCTGTGTCACTATCATCTGTAATGCTGCTCGCCTCCACCTCCCCCACACCGGCATCACCATCCATCATCGCCGAACCTCAGTCGCTATCGGCTGCTGCCGGCCACCACCGTTCCCAGCCCGTCACAGCCGCCCAATCTACGCCGCAAGTGTCAATTTTAGGGCCACCATTTCACCTTTGAGCATCACCATCACCGTCACAGCTCTGGCATCATTAATCTGCCATGAAAATGAAATTTTAAATCTGCTATAATGTTGGCAGATTTATTTTGGCAGATTTGCGCAAAACTGCCATAATCTTGGCAAAATATCATTGTTAGTGTACATTTCTGCCATAACTTGGCAAAAATTTATGCCATCATCCAAAAACTGAGAAAATCAGGAAATTTGAGAAATTAAAAAATGGAAATGCGAAATAGAACTCCAGAAATCAACAAATCGAATGCCAAAACTCAAAAACAGAGGAAAAGAAGAAAAATAAAAAAAATGGAATAATAGGAGGAGGAAGAGGAAAATGGAGGAGGAGGAGAAGGAGGAGGAAGATGAGATGGAGGATGAGAAGATACCTGATTTGCAGAGAAGAAGAAGTTGAAGGATGTGATTTGAAGGGGAGAAGAAAATGATCGATGGAGAAGGGGAGGTAATGGTGCGCATAAAGGGAGAGAGAAGATGATAAGCCGAAGAGTGGACCGATGGTAGGTTAAACATAGCATGGGTAAGAATGGAATTGAAAAGTCCATATGTTTTGGATAGGAGTAATATGCTCCTATTTGGGGAAGAAAACATATATACTCCTATTTAAGAATTTCTCCCAATTTTTACTCCTATATGAGGCAATTTCTCAATTTTAAACGCATTAGCCTAGGTTCAAATCCCATTGGTTTTAAACCTTCGAGTTCTTGGCAGTGAATTTGACTTTTACATGTACGTATGGGATGTTTTGTTTTAGTTTGACACAGTTATTAATCAAATGGTTGAAAATAAAAGTTATTTTTGAGAATTGAGTGGAATATAATAAAGTGAATGATATGGAAAACATATTCCTTACTTAAAAATGAAACATTATAGATAGTAATCATTTTGAGACAACTCAAAATAAACAGCAAGACAACAAAAATGAGATGAAAAGCGTATTTCAACTAAACATACTCATCAAGCTTGTTTCAAAGTTTCTGTGACTTTGAATTCAAAATATGATAATACTAATAATAATAAAGGGCTTTGATGAATTATGAATAGTGCGGGGACATTTATTATAATTTTAGTGTTTGGTGGCATAATATAGTACTCCTTCTGTCCCTAAATTATCTTGCAAACCACATTTAATATGAGAACTAAGAAAGCGAAAATTGTATGATATGATGGAGAGTTAAGCAATCTGCAGAGAAGAGAATAATGTGTAAAAATGTACGATAGTATAAGATATGTCGTTGTAAATAAAAAAATCTTTGTTAAAAAAAGAAATGACAGACTATTTTGAGAAAGACAAAAAAAAAATTAGAATATTATTTAGGATGGAAAGGAGTATATGATGCTTCAATTCATACGTGATCATTGCATGTCCATAACGTGGTTAATTAATATCCAACAAACAATAATCAATCTCAATTCACAAGTTGCGAGGCTTAATGTATTTGTGGGATCATATCGTTAACTAACGGATATAAATCTTTTCAACTTCAAAATACTTGTATATATGTTCGTTAAGGTTAAATCCTACTAGCTTCATCCCTTTATATGTAGTAATTTTTGCTTTTCTAGTCAAAGAAATTAAACTTTTACCAATTATTTTAAGTAATATATCTATGATAATATTTTTGATAAACATGTTATCAATACTTATTATGTGTATAAATATATAATCACTAAAGTCAAATTTGACTAAGTAAAATGAGACGAAAGGGAGTATTATTGACTAAAAAGAGTTAAATCATCATTTCAACATAAAAAGACCTGTGAGTTTAGATCCTATTATTGATTAAAATGAGTTATATAAGGTTTTTTTAAAAAATATTTCTAGATAAAAATACATTTAAATTTTTTTTACTAAAAAATATTATAGTGTGAACTGTGAAATCATAATCACTTTAATGTAAAAATTGACCTCTGTACCGGCCGTGTAAGCTCAATTCAGTCTCTGAACTAAAAAAAGATCCAATTCACACCTCGAACCGGCAAAAATGGTTCAAATTTCATTTTTTAAGGTTAAACAACAGGTAAAAAAGGTCCAATTGGAACCCCTAAACTATTAAAAATAAAGTGTCAAAATTGCAATCAATTGAAAATATAAAACAAAAATAATAATAAATTCAAAAAAAATGACCGGTTGTTTACCCGTAAAAAAATGAAATTTGAACCATTTTTTTCGGTTCGGGGTATGAATTGAACATTTTATTAGTTCAGGAACTGAATCGAGCTTACACAACCGATATAGGGGCCTATTCAACTCTTTAACCAATTGAATATAAGCTATCATGATTAAAATAACGTGTGTGTCTTAGAGCAACTCCAATGCAATGGGTCCATTGGAGATAATGTGGCAATTAAATGGAAAGAGTCCATCTTAAAATGAGAGGGTCCATTCTAATAGGTCTCCAATGCTAAACAAATTGCAAGTGCAAAACATGTGGGAAGCAACTTGTAAGAGAGAGGGGGGGGTAAGACACAAGGTCCCAATGTAGACCTCTTCTTGGACCTTGGTCATTGCCACCTAGGATAGACCTCATTTTTTTGGTTTCGCATTGGAGAGCATATTGGGTCCATTAGGTGAGGTGGATGACATTTTTTTGGCAATCCACATCTACATTGGAGATACTCTTATATACTCTGTCTTTTGTCTTGATATATGCTTTTCAGGTAAAATGCTGTTTGAGTGCTTGACCAGAAAATTTTTGGGTAAGGTTGGCTTGGCCCATTGGCTAATTCGAGCCCTGTTCTTTTAAGATCAAGGAAGCTGAGTGGGAAAAAAGTTCCATCCCGATATTGTATTCCCACTTTAATGAAACTTGGATATATCACACGTACTCAGCATGTCGAAAATCGAATTTATTGAGTTATACATAGAATTGAGTATTTAAATTGCATATCATTCTTATTATTCAACTTTTTGTAATTCGAAAAAATACAACAAAGTATTTTGTCGGTCCTTATCAATACCGAGTAGTGAGTACATAAAACACATTCAGTTCGAAAAATCATAAAATTAGAGCCCGTTTAGTAGCCCCAAATTTTAGTTTATCATGCTTATCAATCGACTTTTTCTTATCAAAGATGTAACTTTTAACTTTTGAAGTTATTTTTCTGGGTGAGTTCACTGAAGTTATTGTACAACGTCATTTTAGCTATCTCACACACACACAAACACACACATATATATTTCTTTATTTTATAAATAAAATACATTTTGAATATAATAATTCCATAATTTAGCATATTCAACTCATTTGACCATTTCAGCTAGAACTGCAACAATTTAAGCAGATTCGGTCAATTAATCTAATTTTATGTTATCAAATGGGCTCTCAAATTGCGACGATAATAATAAATACTCCGTAATACTCCTTTGGTCGCTTAAAACTTTGCTAACTTTTTGTTTTTGAGTATCCCGAAAATCTTTGTCATATTTCCTTTTAATCAATCTGTGGTTGTTAGGATTTATCTCTCCCCTACACAAGCATGAACCACATATTTTTACTTTACTATTTTCCATGAGATCAAATTTGGTAAAATTTTGAGTGTAGAGGAATAGTTAGGTATGGGTGAGAGTTTACTAACGGGTGGAAATGCATCGATCATTGCCTCAGATGAAAACAATACAATATTAAAGATATACAACAAATAGAAAAGATCAGGTCCCTCCGGAGGGACGGGAGGGACCGTCCGGCCAAAGCCATCAGAGGGCCTTCGCGGTGGAATTTTTTGATGAAATTTTTTGAGCATGTTCCTCATCAAGTCTAGTTTATCCATACCAAATTTCAGCTAAAAATTCAACCGGGAAGGCACTCAAATGATTTTTGGAAGATAACTGCGTTTTATATGTATAAACTGAGCAGTTAACTTCCAAAAATCATTTGACTGTCTTCCCGGTTGAATTTTTAGCTGAAATTTGGTATGGATAAACTAAACTTCATGAAGAACATGCTCAAACAATTTCAGCAAAAAATTCCACCGGGAAGGGCCCCAAATGGCGACGGCCGGACGGCGGGTCCTGTCCCTCCGGCTGGACAGGATCAGGCCTCTACAACAAATATTCAAGACGTGCATATACTTAAACACAAATAAATGGTCATTAAACCTCATTCTTTTCATTAATTATATGTTCGATCAGTCACCAAAGCCATCGAAGTCAGCCATATGTGCATGAAGGACGACTATGATACGAAATTATTTAGTAGCAACGTATAGTACTTAGTTTTATTTAATTAAGGACGAGAGCAATTTATTGAATTAATTAATTAATATAATTAAAAGCCGTGGTGGTGGTGTTCTTTTTTCTCTTCCTTCTTGGCATCTTTCTTCTCATGATGCTCGTGAAATGCGAACCCACCAGCTCCGACCGCCACGGCCGCCGCTACTTCCTCCTCGATCTTGTGTCTGTGTCCTTGCTCCCCGTCCTTCTTTGCTTCATGCTTCTCATGCTGCATTATCAATGGTTGATTTTCTTAAAAATTATGAAAATTAATTTAAAGATAACAATGACTAAATTTAATTATTACGAGTATCTATAACTATGATCACTATGTAAAATGGAACACAATAATAGTTAGGGAAAACTGTCAAATAGATCCTCAAACTTTCATAAAAAGGTCAATTAAGTCCTTCTATAGGAGACTTTGTCCGGTCGTCGCGATTTGGGGTGGTTCCCGGTGGAATTTTTTGATGAAATTTTTTAGCATCTTATTCACCAAGTCTTGTTTACTCATACCAAATTTCAGCTAAAAATTCAATCGGGAACACATTCAAATTAATTCTTGAAGATAACTGCGCATTTTCGCGTTCTCGAATTAATTTGAATGCGCTCCTGATTAAATTTTTAGCTGAAATTTGGTATGAATAAACTAGACTTGATATATAAGATGCTCAAAAAATTTCATCAAAAAATTCCACCGGGAACCACCCCAAATCGCGACGACCGGACAAAGTCTCCTATAGAAGGACTTAATTGACTTTTTTATGAAAGTTCGAGGACCTATTTGACAGTTTCCCCATAATAGTTATGAAAAACTACTATGATAACGTGACAAAAACCATTGTTGACATTAATTTTGGTAGGGATTCTCCAAAATTGGCAGGTATTTTAGCAGCAGGGATATGTCAAAAACAATTTGCCATGAACAATTTGACACAAAATTATTGATAACTCCGTGCCAAATCTATTTCATTCCCGTAATTTTTTGTAGTGAACGTCCCATTAAAATTAATGTATACAGAGTGTTGTAATGTAATGGGATTACTATTAAAAGATAATTTATATATTTGATATACAATTCATTATTAAGATCATTCGAAAAAAGTAATTTAAATACGAATTGAAATTACACAAATATTACCAAATTCAGACCATATGAGTGAGATAGTTCAAAAAGGAAAGGAAAGGTGGGGCTATGAACTAATCATAAGGGTGTTGGAAATAAATTGCTTTCATCCTTAATTGAATGAAATAGGAGTAATCATTCAAACAATATTTCCAACAGGGTTGCAAAGGGATTTGCTACTTCACCAATCTTTCATCCTTCTAGAACCGTTAAACCTACATTTGGAATAATCTTAGTAAAATGAATGAAGCATAAATAATCATGTTTCCCCATCCTTATTATTTCAGTCATAAATTAATTATTATTTCTAAACTTAATTCCTTCAAAGTTACAACGGTTATTGTGTAGATAAAAAATAAATAGACTCAAAGTAATTTTTGAATCCTCGCGCGTCACACTAATTAATTGACTTTGTCCATATTCGTGTGTCGGATTTACTATTCACTTATGTGGTTTCATTATAATTTTTTTCAGATTTAAAGTAAACTTTTATGATTCATTATAGCTATTAATTAAATTTAAATGTGCAAATCCTAGTTATCAATCATAAATTAAGAAGGAAAAGCTAGATCTAATTTAGTGAAATCTGGTAATTCAAGTTGGAATAGATCAAATATATATCCTTTTTATAGTTTTAACTTTACTTCGTTACGGTATACGAAGAATTGAAGTACTGAACTTTAATAGCTTAACAAGAAAAAAATAATGATCATTTTGGGAATATATGAAATACGTTCTAGCTAGTGATTTAAAAGTTAAAACTATAAGTTTCAATTTCTTGATATAGGTAGTTTGGATAAAATGGGCAGAAAAATAGTGGCCAGGAATTTAACAACTGACCAAGGCAAAGGCTCCGGCAGCAGCGACGCCGAGCTCGCCCACGTGCTCGAGATGTTTGTGGTGTTTCTCTTCTTTCTTGTAGTCAATGGGGCCTTCCTCCTCCTTGTGGTGGAGGGAGAAGTGGTGGTGTTTCTCCTCGGCCATGGTGGTTCAAACTTTAGTTTGATTGGTATAGATATTAGCCAATTCAATAAGATGTGAAGTAGTAGAAATGGTTGTAATAATGTTGCTAATTCTAGCCTACTATTTATAGCCGATCAATAATCAATAATGGTAGATATTCCATAACTCCTACTTGTATTAGGTGCCAAACAGGCATTTATTTGTTTAGGGCCAATTAGGATCGGACCACATAATAATTCAGATTGAAATTGAAGGATTTGGTCTAAAATACGCAGTAGTTGTTTAGGTCTTATCTAGCCTCATGTTATCTGTAGCTAGGGGAGGAATATTTGTGCAATTATTAAGTTATAAAATTTGAGTTTTGGAGCAAACAACCATTTTTATAAAGCTACTCATTTTAATGTAATAACATTAGTTTGGATTTTTCATTAAATATTAGGATATTAAACTTTTGAGGTAATTCCCTAAATGGGATTAAATCAATGTTGAAGTGCACAAATAGGACTATTATAATTTATAGGACCAAAAACGAATTGATTAGACAAAATTGCCCTGAAATTACAGATCAATAAAACTCTTCCCACGGTGTCTCATTCCACGCTGAACTCCAAACCGACCTCCAGCCCCTCTGCTCATTCCAGATGCGAACTCCAAGCCGGACACCTTCAGCACCTTCCGTCCATGGCCGCTGCTGTAGAGACCGCCGCCGCAGCCAAGTAAGACCGCCCCCAAAGTTGCCGCCGAGATTGCAGCTGCACACTTACCCATCCTGTTGCGAGCGAGAATGGTGCCAAACTGCCACAACTAAATTCTCTTCCAAAGATAACCATCTTCTTAGTCATTGCTACCTCCTTTGAGTGTATGTCATCAATTTCAAAACAAAATGCAATTATGATAACGATAATGACAAAAAAATGGCATTTCTACCTGTAAAGCTATGGAATTTTCAGATTACAGATTATGGCATTTTCACATTTTAGGGTCCAAACAGTGAAATAGGGGAACAAAAATGAAGCAGTAGTATCGCCAATAAATACAATTCAATGCCATAAAAATACCAAAATTTGTGAAAATGTCAAAAATCTGGCATTTCAAAGATCTAAATGTCCATACCCATAAAAAAATGCCATAAATGTGGCATTTCTTACAAGTTTATAAAGATTTCCAATTCAAATGTTTCCAATTCAAATTTTAGGGCAGAGAATCGAAATAATATTCGAATAAATGCCAGAGGAGTAGAGAATAGAGGAAGAGGAGAAAGGAGGAGGAGAAGAGGGGAAGAAAAAAGAAGAAGAGGAGAAAAGGAGGTGCGATTACCTGTAGAAGATGTCGAGTATGGTGTATGGTGCGCAGAAGTAGGGGTGGGATCGGTCCGGTCCGGGTCGGGTTTTTGTTAAACCCGGAAATTACCCGTAAGGTCTCGGGTTATGAAAATTAGGGACCGGAAAAAAGCCCACTATATTCGGTCCGAGTCGGTTTTTTTGTAGCCCGGGTTTGGTCCGGGTTCGGGTTGGGTCGGTTAAAGCCCGAATGTGAAATCATCTCATTTTTCTTTTATATTTTAAAATTTATTTTCAAATAAAATTAATCAAAAGTACAAACCGCAAATAACAACACAAAGATTAGTCTCCAAAATCACCAAGAATTCAAATCCAAAGAAGACAATCATCATGATATTTCGTTTAAGATGCATAAAAATAAATAATATAGGTTTTCTAAAAATGTCACGAAATAAAATTTATGGATAAAAATGTAACTAAAGTTACTATAAATATGTTTTCATGGTCATTACGGTAAATAAATTGAATATATTTGTAGTAACTAATAGTTATTAAGTCATTTTTTTGTCCACCATGATTATAATCATATATTAGGAATTAATTTATAAATTACATTGGTATATTATATTGATTTTATATTAAAGTTAATTGTTTTCGGGTTTTTATCGGTCCGGGTCGGGTAATAGATTTTAGGGCCCGTTAAATAACCCGAAATTTCGGGTTCGGTCCGGGTTTTTTTTATTCGGGCCGGTCAAAAAGAAAAAACCCGGACCGAGATCATAATTCGGGCCGGGCCAGGGTCGGTTTCCGGGTTTCTGTTCGGTTTTTCCCACCCCTACGCAGAAGAACATCTCCTTCACTCCATGGAAGTTTTCCGCATCGAGCGCATCGGCAAAAGAAGATGTCGATGATGGCAGATTTCGGGCCTTTATTAGAGCAGGGGTAAATTGAGAATTAGGAGTCCTATTTAGGAAAAATAAAACGTTAACTCCTATTTAGGAACTTTGATCATAATTCAGTCCTATTTAGGACTAATAACTCTAAACTTTTTTATTGAATTTGTGTCGCCGGCTTGCTGAAATAGCTTACACAGCCTTAGAGATCGTCACTTAACCCGTGGCCTCATGATCTTGTGAGGGCTATCCGGTCTATCCATCTCATTTGCCAAAAAGCCCAGTCCGGCCCACAAAAGTCATGGACTGGCCTAGCCAGCTATTTGAGTGGATGAACATTGGGTAGAGTATTTGAAACCTGACCCATCCAATTAGCTCGGCCCGTCAAGGCGTCAACATCCATCCTGGCCCAACTTGTTAAGCCCAATTGAGCCCAGCCCAAAAATCGCGGATGTACGTTTTTTGGTAATGTTAAATCATGAATTTTAAAGTCAATTTTCATTTATATTTTGAAAGTATATTTAATAAATAATTATTATTTTTAAATATATATTAGTGACGGATTTTAGTGGCGGAATATCAGACACTAATATTAGTGGCGAAAATGCAGACACTAACTTCCGCTTCTGCTTTGCGTCCACCCCGTTTATCCGAAGCTAAACCATTTTATGTCCATATTTTGGTGTCGGAAAAACCACCACTAATAGCCGACACTAATGATGTTAGTGACGGAATACGTGTCGGATTTTCCGACACTAAAATTTAAAAATTGTTGTAGTGATATGAATTTCATAATTATAACATACAAAAGTAATGAGTAGTAGTAGAGGAGAATGAAGTTCTAGATGATTGTTAAGGTATAAAAGTTCGTCAGAGTTTGAAAAAATATGGTACTTCAATATTTATACATGTCTTTTTCAAGAATGTACCACCAAAAACTTACACATAGATAATTTAACCTTTCATTTTATTATTACATTTTGGAGTAAAAAATTCTTTTAAATTAGTGACATGTGAGCCAGGTCCCTGTTTTGGAGACATGTCTTAATATTATTCTCATAAATCCATCTTAATTCAGCCATATTAGTGACATGTGAGCCAGGTCTAGCTGGTCCCTTAAATCAACCTTTTTATATGACTAGGGCTGCAATTTTATTACAAAAATGACCCGACCCGACGATTAATTATGGAGTATTTTTTATATATTGAGTCCAACCTGACCAAGTCCGAACCATTAATTTTGGACTAATGTGATCCAGTCCAATGATGACCCGTAGTATTGCCCTTCTCTCTCCTCCCAGTCCAACAAATTTTGCTCAAAACTCAAAAGTAGGTAATTTGTGGTGATTATTCCACCAAGGAGGTGAATATATTCATATGTTGGCCTCGTTTGTTGCCTAATCGTTGCATTTAGCAGCGGTTTGCTCAAGGCGCTATTATCCCAATGGGGGTGTTATCTTTCCTATACATGGGATGCACAGCATTTTAATGTGAATCAGACAAAAATTTAAGCCCACTTTCAGTTTGGACCCTATTGATCCGTCTAAATCTAATTGTGACCCACTCCATCAATTAATATAATTTCACACTACTTTGTATGTATTCATCCATTCTAGCAGTTTTCATTCAACCCAGCACCGTTAATATAATTACTCGGCCACTTTTTGTATAAACGCATAAATCCTTACATCATGTGATTTATGTGACAATTTTATTTTTATCAATAATTATGATTTAAAATGTCAAACATTCATGTGTACAAATATAAAAAAAAATGTGAATTAATTTTTTGTAAGTATTAAAAATGCACACTTGAGTTCAATTTGAAATAAATTTCAATTAAACGGACCATATTATTTTTTCATTTTTAATACTATGTATTTGTTGAACATTAAGATGAATAAATTGAAACCCGTGTTATTAAATTTAAATACTAACAATCACATAGTATAAACACACATAATATTTACGATAATTGAAAAAGAGGAACAAATTCTAATACATTACAATAACAAGAAAAGCCACAAACAGTAGTAGCATTAAGAGGTCAAACATTCCGATGTAAAACTGAAAAAAATTGGAATTTGTTTTTTTTTTGTTACTTTAGACCTATTCTTGAAAAAATAATGATTGATAAATGTAAAAAAAACTTGAACAATGAAATTTTAATTTCAACACTTGAATCTATTTCATAGAATTTTAGATATAAAAAAAACTCTTCATCAATTAAAATCTCAATTTTTAAAAAAACTTTACATATGCAATATTGGTGTCAAATGAAAGATCATAAAAAATTATGAATTTTGGTAGTTTTTTGTAAAATTTGGAGTATAAATGAAAACGTTATAACAATTTAAATAAATAGATGTTTTCTTTTATCTTGGGTCCCACATGCTTGTGGCCTCCCTAGAATGCTAATTTCAATGCTAATTTCATGTCTTTCATCTTCCAAAAGGTCGAATCCCCAACCCCAAGGGCCCCCCACGCCCCGACCCGACAAGACATTTTGGAAAGTCGTAAGTCACAGTGACTCAGTTGGTCCAATGGTGGTAAACCTTGTATCCATGCGCACCAAAGGTCTATCCAAAAACGCAGGAGCTGTAACCTCCACTTGGCCGCTGCGGGATTCGATACTTGGTCACTATTCCAACTTTCCACCACTCAACCAACTGAGTTACCCATGCGGGTATGTCTTTCCTATAGTTCGTACGAGTGAATAAAGGGGTATAGCTTTTCCACCTAAGGTTCTCCATACCCTCTGTGACACTTCATTAGACAACTTTTTGCTTAAATTGGAGCGTATTTGGGATAAATACCTCAAATTTGGGGTTTTACCCTCCGGGTTACGGGGATCCTAAGGAGAATATGGGATAGGATGTGGGCTAAGCCTTTCTATATATGAACCCCATAAATACTAATCTCCAAATAAAACATTTAAGTAATTGAACACGTCATTTTTGTGGATAATTTAACGCAATGGAAACTTATCGAATTTTCTCTCTCTATTATATATCATTATCCAATAATTATTGCATGAAATATACTAGTATG